GACAGTGGGATGGGGTATCTTAAACAACTTACACGGTGAGTTGTGTCAGGGACAGTGAGAGGGGGTATCTTATACAACATATACAGTGACTTGTGTCAGGGACAGTGGGATGGGGTATCTTAAACAACATACACAGTGAGTTGTGTCAGGGACAGTGAGAGGGGGTATCTTAAACAACATACACAGTGACTTGTGTCAGGGACAGTGAGAGGGGGTACCTTATACAACATATACAGTGACTTGTGTCAGGGACAGTGGGAGGGGGTATCTTATACAACATATACAGTGACTTGTGTCAGGGACAGTGGGATGGGGTATCTTAAACAACATACACAGTGACTTGTGTCAGGGACAGTGAGAGGGGGTATCTTAAACAACATACACAGTGACTTGTGTCAGGGACAGTGAGAGGGGGTACCTTATACAACATATACAGTGACTTGTGTCAGGGACAGTGGGAGGGGGTATCTTATACAACATATACAGTGACTTGTGTCAGGGACAGTGGGATGGGGTATCTTAAACAACATACACAGTGAGTTGTGTCAGGGACAGTGAGAGGGGGTATCTTAAACAACATACACAGTGACTTGTGTCAGGGACAGTGAGAGGGGGTATCTTAAACAACATACACAGTGAGTTGCGTCAGGGACAGTGAGAGGGGGTATCTTAAACAACATACACAGTGAGTTGTGTCAAGGACAGTGGGAGGGGGTATCTTAAACAACATACACAGTGAGTTGTGTCAAGGACAGTGGGAGGGGGTATCTTAAACAACATACACAGTGAGTTGTGTCAAGGACAGTGGGAGGGGGTATCTTAAACAACATACACAGTGAGTTGTGTCAAGGACAGTGGGAGGGGGTATCTTAAACAACATACACAGTGACTTGTGTCAGGGACAGTGAGAGGGGGTATCTTAAACAACATACACAGTGACTTGTGTCAGGGACAGTGAGAGGGGGCATCTTAAACAACATACACAGTGAGTTGTGTCAGGGACAGTGGGAGGGGGTATCTTTTACAACATACACAGTGACTTGTGTCAGGGACAGTGGGATGGGGTATCTTATACAAAATATACAGTGACTTGTGTCAGGGACAGTGAGAGGGGGTACCTTATACAACATATACAGTGACTTGTGTCAGGGACAGTGAGAGGGGGTATCTTATACAACATACACAGTGACTTGTGTCAGGGACAGTGAGAGGGGGTATCTTAAACAACATATACAGTGACTTGTGTCAGGGACAGTGGGAGGGGGTATCTTACACAACATATACAGTGAGTTGTGTCAGGGACAGTGGGAGGGGGTTTCTTTTACAACATACACAGTGAGTTGTGTCAGGGACAGTGGGAGGGGGTATCTTATACAAAATATACAGTGACTTGTGTCAGGGACAGTGAGAGGGGGTATCTTAAACAACATATACAGTGACTTGTGTCAGGGACAGTGAGAGGGGGTACCTTATACAACATATACAGTGACTTGTGTCAGGGACAGTGAGAGGGGGTATCTTAAACAACATATACAGTGACTTGCGTCAGGGACAGTCGGAGGGGGTATCTTACACAACATATACAGTGAGTTGTGTCAGGGACAGTGGGAGGGGGTATCTTTTACAACATACACAGTGAGTTGTGTCAGGGACAGTGGGATGGGGTATCTTATACAAAATATACAGTGACTTGTGTCAGGGACAGTGAGAGGGGGTACCTTATACAACATATACAGTGACTTGTGTCAGGGACAGTGAGAGGGGGTATCTTAAACAACATATACAGTGACTTGTGTCAGGGACAGTGGGAGGGGGTATCTTACACAACATATACAGTGAGTTGTGTCAGGGACAGTGGGAGGGGGTATCTTTTACAACATACACAGTGACTTGTGTCAGGGACAGTGAGAGGGGGTACCTTATACAACATACACAGTGACTTGTGTCAGGGACAGTGAGAGGGGGTATCTTAAACAACATACACAGTGTCTTGTGTCAGGGACAGTGAGAGGGGGTATCTTATACAACATACACAGTGAGTTGTGTCAGGGACAGTGAGAGGGGGTATCTTATACAACATACACAATGACTTGTGTAAGGGACAGTGAGAGGGGGGATCTTATACAACATACACAGTGAGTTGTGTCAGGGACAGTGAGAGGGGGTATCTTATACAACATACACAGTGACTTGTGTCAGGGACAGTGAGAGGGGGTATCTTATACAACATACACGGTGAGTTGTGTCAGGGACAGTGAGAGGGAGTATCTTATACAACATACACAGTGACTTGTGTCAGGGACAGTGGGAGGGGGTATCTTATACAACATATACAGTGACTTGTGTCAGGGACAGTGAGAGGGGGGCATCTTAAACAACATATACAGTGACTTGTGTCAGGGACAGTGAGAGGGGGCATCTTAAACAACATACACAGTGAGTTGTGTCAGGGACAGTGAGACGGGGCATCTTAAACAACATACACAGTGACTTGTGTCAGGGACAGTGGGAGGGGGTATCTTAAACAACATATACAGTGACTTGTGTCAGGGACAGTGGGAGGGGGTATCTTAAACAACATATACAGTGACTTGTGTCAGGGACAGTGAGAGGGGGTACCTTATACAACATATACAGTGACTTGTGTCAGGGACAGTGGGAGGGGGTATCTTAAACAACATATACAGTGACTTGTGTCAGGGACAGTGAGAGGGGGCATCTTATACAACATACACAGTGACTTGTGTCAGGGACAGTGAGAGGGGGCATCTTTTACAACATACACAGTGACTTGTGTCAGGGACAGTGAGAGGGGGCATCTTAAACAACATACACAGTGACTTGTGTCAGGGACAGTGGGAGGGGGTATCTTAAACAACATATACAGTGACTTGTGTCAGGGACAGTGGGAGGGGGCATCTTATACAACATATACAGTGACTTGTGTCAGGGACAGTGGCAGGGGGTATCTTAAAAACGTCCACAGTGAGTTGTGTCAGGCAAAGTGAGAGAGGGTATCTTAAACAACATCCACAGTGACCTGTGTCAAGGACAGTGGGAGGGCGTATCTTCAACAACATCCACAGTGACCTGTGTCAAGGACAGTGGGAGGGGGTATCTTATACAACATACACAGTGAGTTGTGTCAGGGACAGTGGGAGGGGGCATCTTAAACAACATCCACAGTGACCTGTGTCAAGGACAGTGAGAGGGGACATCTTATACAACATATACAGTGAGTTGTGTCAGGGACAGTGGGAGGGGGCATCTTAAACAACATCCACAGTGACCTGTGTCAAGGACAGTGAGAGGGGGTATCTTATACAACATATACAGTGAGTTGTGTCAGGGACAGTGGGAGGGGGCATCTTAAACAACATATACAATGACATGTGTCAGGGACATTGGGAGGGGGTATCTTTAACAACATCCACAGTCACTTGTGTCAGGGACATTGGGACACGTTCATCAAAGAGCTTTGGGGGCGGTCGGGTAGCTTAGTCGTTAAAGCGGGCGCTCGTCACACCGAAGACCGGGCTCGATACCGGACATGAGTCCAATGTGTGAAGTCCATTTCTGGTGTCCCCCGCCGTGATATTGCTTGAATATTGCTAAAAGCGGCGTAAAACCATACTCTCTCAAAAAGCTTTGTACAGTGTACTTAAAAGTCTGCTATTTGAGATATAAGTACATATTCCAACTTAGCTGAAACCGGTTTTCAACGAAATACTTAGTCATATGGCATATATGATGTTATATGAGACAGTAGATGTCGCCACGCCATGTGGCTTGGTATTTCGCTGTTAGCCGAACATTAAGTAAACACTTCAGTATGTGGGCGTGAATGCGCTCTCGACGCGAGCTATTTGAACACGACCGTGTATACGCTTCAACGAACTGCGCTTTTATGTGAAGAATATTTTTGTTTGGTGGGAGTGATCATGAACTTAGGTCTCCGCTTTTGTCCACTTTGGACAAAAGAAAGAGAGCGAGAGATGCCTGTGTATTGGTTTAAAAACATATAGGATCTGCGTGCTTCAAATATATTCTAGTCTTATAAAAGAAACTTTAATTTGCGAAAATCATTACAAGTGATGATTTAACTCATCAATACTATACTTGACGGGGTTGTTCTGGTATTTACGGAGTCGTGTTTGGTCTGAACACATGAAACATGTTATATGAATATAAACAGACCAATTGATGATATGCTTTTGACACGTAGATGTTTAGTCACTACAAATGTTTAGTTGTCACGACTTTAGTTACTCGATTTCAGTTGAGCGAAACAAATATAAATCTACCTTTATGCACATTACAAAAAAAATAAAATTATCTAAATATATATATAGACATACTTTAAGAATGATACGATTATGTTATATTATCCCGAAGGGAACGTGGATTACTTAATAGAAGAAGAATATAACTTGTATATATAACGTTTATAATTATGTGACTTTCTGCAGTCGGCAATATTTCAGTAATACATGAGCGGACAGAAGACATACGATTGCATGTTTCAAAATTCGATACTCACTATTATCACATCTCTTGACAAATAGCAGACACCAGGGAACAATTCTACTGCTGATGTCATGGTGAATTGTAAGTGTTTCTACCCAGCTTGCAACACTTATGACATCATTGTAATCCATTACCAACTCGACCATTCGTCAGGACTTGCTTCTTTCCATACTTTGGTGGTTAGAATGACAAGTCTCGTGTCAGGCAATTAAGATTATAGAAAAGAGAATGCTTTCAAAATATTAAAATAATGGACGAAAATTTAAATTGTTTGTGTTCTTCATATTGCAGAAAAACACAATGCAATAGTACACATTAATTGATCATTCACACATGTGCATAAACATTTATATATTTGCATATTAATACCTTAGGGTATAATATACATATTGTGAAGTGTGATCGTTTGAACTAAATAAAACAATATTACGACAAATTATCTCATATGATCCTTCACGTTTGTTATGTTTCAGGTTTTCCCGAGATAACGACACAACCAGTGGTGACACTGGAATATGTGACACTGACAGACATGTCACTCAGCTGTGCAATAAAGGACAATGCAAGTGACGTCATTGACAATCAAGTGGTCAATATCCAGTATGAGGTGACATGGTACCGTGAGGATGTCAACATCACATCCGAACTATTGATTGCTGGGCTACTTACTCACAATCTCAATGTATCTACAGCGGACTTTGTAGACAGGCAGAAGGTCAGTTATAAATCATCATGAGAGAGAGAGAGAGAGAGAGAGAGAGAGAGAGAGAGAGAGAGAGAGAGAGAGAGAGAGAGAGAGAGAGTTCTTCTCTTAAACAAAGCGCGTGCTTATGTACCGCGGGAACAAGTTTCACGAACAAGACTAAGTAATGAAAACTCTCAACATCGCTGGGCTTATTCAACGACATTGCACTGTCCCAGTGAAAAGATCACTGAGGTAGCTTATGACCTCGCAACCCTGTTAGCCTAACAGGCAGACGTCACATGGCATTGTTTCCACAAATTACGCTCCGACGTTCATACAACTCTATGAAGGTTTATATTTTATGAACTCACACAAAGTGAAAGTCAATTCTTATAATTTTTATGTCACTAGTTTTACCTGATCTATACACAATTATATTTAGTATGTGTGACGTCATGTTTACACTGACAGCCATACAATAACCAGCTGTATCGCGGAATAAAATAGTTCCTCAAAACGAGAGGTGACATGAATTATGTATGCTAAACATGCTCAACCGGGACAACTTGTGTAGTTTCTTGAAAACAAATGTACTCAAATAATATCCTTATGAGATGAGAAAGGTCTTTTAAGAACTTTCTCAGTAAGACAGCGCGTCGTAATACATTTACATCAAGTACAAGACGTCAAAATGGCCGGCACGATGGATGTGACGGGAGAGATTTCGGAAGTTGTTAATGAACCTGTGGCGGTTACATGTGTTAGCCATCATTGATCAACTGGCCGATCATTGAAAGTTGATTAAAGATGTGTCATAAAGACACTAAGGTAAATTCATTGATTGCTGTAGACGGTCACTGTCAGCCTAGACATGGATCAAGTCGATACTACGATAGTTCGGGCGTGCATTTCTTGGTTTTGTTCATTGGGAATTGGCGAACGAACAATCGTGCTGTCAAACTCACTGAAGTTTCTCAATATATACTGAATTATGGGCGGCCATTCGGTCAAAAAATACAAAGTTGAAAAAAGGACAAAAGTACGCAATTAAGATCAAATATTACGAATAAAAAAATTAAATGTTACTACTAAAGGTCAAAATACAAAACAAACAGACGAGGGTTAAACATACAAAGTTGAAATAAATGTCAAAAGTACGCAATATTAATAGTCAAATGTTACGAAAAGACCCTCGTCTGTTTGTTTTGTATTTTGCTTTTGTCCTTTTTTTCAACTTTGTATTTTTTGACCGAATGGCCGCCAATACTGAAACGCTGAGTTCAAGATTAAAGGTTCTAAATGATCAGAAAGAACACTTCTGTGTGTTTTCGTGCTACGGAATTCCCAGAGGTTTACCCGGGAATGTGGAAGTAGTCCGTTAGATTTTTCGCCATTTCAAGAACACAATCTCGTGAAAAACGTGTAAACGTCAAATTGTGTCGTTCTTAATAAGGATTGACTGTGAATTTTGTTCGGTTCATTGAGGTATGAATCGAAAAACCGATGTGAAACTGTATGGATCCGGTCAATCAAGGCAAGAGGCGAGAAGAACTGCAACAGTCAGACTGTACGAACCGGAACGATCGAATATGTTCGGGAGAAGGCGGCGGTTTCAAATGACATGGTCAGTTACCGCCAGATTCGAACATTAGTTCCCTAAGAACGGGAAGACACAGTTGGAAAAATGCTAGTTAGAAATGAACCGGAAGACATGAAAGTTGTGGAACCGAGGCGAGCGGGGAAAAACCGGTGAGCGAGCCTGCACGTTTGCTGTTTCATTCCTTCTCGACCTTCTCGGTCTCAAAGAGTTAAATTTCGCGTAATGCCCTGTGCATGATGATACACGAGCAGAAAGGGAATTCCCTCGACTGTAATATTGGGATTCCCCGACATTCCGTGGTAATAAAAGTAGTCCTCCTCGGTAGGCGTGGCTTAGTGTTTTGCATGGGAAATGAATCTAATAACACGTGACCAAATCAGTTAATCCGAATGCACTCCGGCGCAGTGGCGACTCAGCATAACACCACTGCCACTGGCTAATTTGCATATCACGTGACCGGACTTTTTTCTTGTTTGTAAACAAACGCGCTTTTTCAGAAATCAGTATAGAACGGACTAATACAAGGTTTTGTGGGGCGCTTTACATATTGTTTTGCATAATTATATAGGTTATGCTACTACAACTGCGACAGTGAGTTGCATGACAATATATATTTATACATCAAAGTGACCGTATCGCTAGCTCTCCGTTGGGCCTCGATGGCTCTCATCGAAGCCCAACGTGTAGCCGTACAACCAATGTAAACAAAGGATATCTACGCAAAAACAAGTAGATTTTCGTGTATTATGATACTTTCTTAATGAATTGTAACCATTCTTTGACATTCGTTTATGAAAATGTGTAGGCGTGTCAAACATGAAACGGATGAAAAGCATCTGCAATATATTGAATGTACTGTGAAAGATGTGACAAATCGTCACATGGCGCTGGCCTGTGGCAGAGGTACTGTGCTGGCTACCGACCGCCATGTGTAATGTGACGTGATTTTGAACTTAGTGGTGCTCACAACATTGATCATCGAGAGTCTGTCGCTGTAGGTGCATCAAAACAACGTTTAGCGCTAAAGAAATTGAAAAAAAATATTGATATTATGTGATAATCTGCCAAAGATCTGAGTATGCGCCAATATCTGTCCCTTAAGTGGAATCTGCCATAGATTTGAGAATCCGCCACGGATCAGAGTCTGAACCAAAGTCTCATATATATCGTCGGATCATAGGTTTTCGGACGTCATACGTTTTCGGACGGCCGTCTTAAAGGGGGTGTAGCCTTACACATACATTGTAAATACTCTGACATGGCTTGTTTTTAAGAGAAATCTGTCTTTTACAAGTGAATGAGATGTCTTACAGTTGCTGCTGTGATTGGAGAGAAAACCACAAATGTTTCTTAAGCGTCCGAAAACCGATAACACGTGAATATATACTACAGACAAGAAATATTAAATGATAAACTGTCTGAAGTTTATAGTTTAAATAACAGTACGTAAATAGTAAATACGTTTCACAAAATAAAATATAGTGCAAATTATACAACCATAATGTGAAAGCACAGAAGCAATAAAACCTGGTGATACATGGTTTGTCATATGTATTTCAGCATTGGTGTGTCGTGAGGGCCTGCTATGAGCTTGACTGTGCAAACGCTTCCCTTGGTAGCAGCAACAAGAGCAATGTGTTTGTACCTCAACTGCAGGTAAGTTATAACACACTACTCTCTTCAGGTACAGGTAGGTTATAACACACTACTCTCTTCAGGTACAGGTAGGTTATAACACACTACTCTCTTCAGGTACAGGTAGGTTATAACACACTACTCTCTTCGGGTACAGGTAGGTTATAACACTACTCTCTTCAGGTACAGGTAGGTTATAACACACTACCCTCTTCAACTGCAGGTGAGTTATAACACACCACCCTCTTCAACTACATGTAGGTTATAACACACTACCCTCTTCAACTACATGTAGGTTATAACACACTACCCTCTTCAACTACATGTAAGTTATAACACACTACCCTCTTCAACTGCAGGTGAGTTATAACACACCACCCTCTTCAACTACAGGTAGGTTATAACACACTACCCTCTTCAACTACATGTAGGTTATACAACACACTACCCTCTTCAGGTACAGGTAGGTTACTACACACTACCCTCTTCATCTACACGTAGGCTATACAACACACTACCCTCTTCAACTACAGGTAGGTTATAATACACTGCCCTCTTCATCTACATGTAGGCTATACAACACACTGCCCTCTTCAACGATAGGTAGGCTATAACACACTTTCCTCTTTAACTACAGGTAAGAAATAACACGATACCCTCTTCAACTGCAGGTGGGTTATAACACACCAACCTCTTCAACTACAGGTAGGTTATAACACACTACCCTCTTCATCTACACGTAGGCTATACAACACACTACCCTCTTCAACTATAGGTAGGTTACAACACACTACCCTCTTCAACTACAGGTAGGTTATAACACACTACCCTCTTCAACTACTGGTAGGTTATAACACACTGCCCTCTCCAGCTACAGGTAGGTTATAACACACTACCCTCTTCAGGTACAGGTAGGTTATAACACGCTACCCTCTTGAACTACAGGTAGGTTATAACACACTACCCTCTTCAACTATAGGTAGGTTATAACACACCATTCTCTATAACTAGAGGTAGGTTATAACACACTACCCTCTTCAACTACAGGTAGGTTATAACACACCATCCTCTATAACTAGAGGTAGGTTATAACACACTACCCTCTTCAACTACAGGTAGGTAAAACAACACACTACCCTCTTTAACTACAGGTAGGTTATAACACACTACCCTCTTCAACTACAGGTAGGTTATAACACACTACCCTCTTGAACTACAGGTAGGTTACAACATACTACCCTCTTGAACTACAGGTAGGTTATAACACACTACCCTCTTCACCTACAGGTAGGTTATAACATGCTACCCTCTTCAACTATAGGTAAGATATAAGACACTACCCTCTTGAACTATAGGTAGGTTATAACACACTACCCTCTTCAACTACAGGTAGGTTGTAACACACTACCCTCTTCAACTACAGGTAGGTTATAACAGACTACCCTCTTCAACTACAGGTAGGTTATAACAGAAACACCCTCTTCAACTACAGGTAGGTTATACAACACACTACCCTCTTCAACTGTAGGTAGGTTGTAACACACTATCCTCTTCAACTACAGGTAGGTAATAAAACCCTACTTACACCATCTTCAGATGGGCTTTACATATGCTTCTGGGATCAGCTACATGTAGGTTATAACACACTTTCCTCTTCAACTAGAGGCAGGTAATAACACACTACCCTCTTCAACTGTAGGTAGCTTATAACACCCTACTCATCATCTACATGTAGTCTACACCTGGATGTCACATCAGCTAAAGGCACAAGACCCTTCTTTCATCAGCTACAGGTAAACTACAACAATCTACTTACATCAGATGCTCTTTTTACACCAGCCACGGGGAGGCTGTAATGCTGGTTCCACACTGGCCACTGCTCTTCTTAAAACAAGTAGAGGAAGGCTACAACACGATATCACACACTTCTGGCATCATTTAAAGGTAGCACACGTATGCTGTAACACTTTAGGTTGTGTAGTGTGTCATGCCAGGAGGAGTACACTGAATCAAATATAGTTTCATATGATTTCCATCATGAGTATGTTATGTTGTAGGTGGTAAGCAGCAGGGAGATGTCAGTTACTGAGGAAGGAGAGGAAGGCTACATCCAACTGACCTTCACCGCCCCGCCAGCACTCTTCTGTCTTATTGCTCAGAAAGAGCAGGACTGTAAAGTAGTTGTGGTGGCGACAGTATCAGACGAAGAACCTCTCCAGTGCCCAACAGCACAACAGAAAACAATACCACAAATCCTCTTCCAAGAATCTTCAAAATACAGCCAATCTGAGTTCTGTTCCACCACAATTACCATGGAAACCTGGAACAAAATCACAAATATCACATTTGTGGCCAATCAGGACATGAGAATTGATGGTAAATCCAGATCTGCTATCACCCTAACAACTGTTGTTGGTGATATCTCCTATGAGGACACACAGCAAAAACTTCAGGTCAGTGAGTTCAGTTATTCCATTTTATGTAATTGAAATATTATGTGAATCCCAGATGTGTGATGATGACTATCACAGTATGTGAGTGACTCCTACAGCATGGATACGGATGATATGTGATAATGAAAATGTGAGTCACACCTATAGCATGGAGACGGCTGTGTGATGATGAAAATGTGAGTGACTTCTATAGCATGGAGATGGATGATGTGTTGTGATGAATATGTGAGTGACTCCTACAGCATGGGGATGGATGTGTGGTCATGAATATGTGAGTGACTCCTACAGCATGGAGACGGATGATATGTGGTCATGAATATGTGAGTGACTCCTACAGCATGGAGATGGATGATGTGTGATGAGGAATATGTGAGTGACTCCTACAGCATGGAGACGAATGATATGTGATGATGAATATGTGAGTGACTCCAATAGCATGGAGATGGATGATATGTGATGGTGAAAATGTGAGTGACTCCTACAGCATGGAGATGGATGATATGTGATGATGAATATGTGAGTGACTCCTACAGCATGGAGATGGATGATATGTGATGATGAATATGTGAGTGACTCCTACAGCAAGGAGATGGATGATGTGTGATGAGGAATATGTGAGTGACTCCTACAGCATGGAGACAGGATGTGTGATGATGAATATGTGAGTGACTCCTACAGCATGGAGACGGATGATGTGTGATGATGAATATGTGAGAGACTCCTACAGCATGGAGACGGATGATGTGTGGTGATGAATATGTGAGTGACTCCTACAGCATGGAGACGGATGATATGTGATATGAATATGTGAGTGACTCCTACAGCATGGAGACGAATGATATGTGATGATGAATATGTGAGTGACTCCTACAGCATGGAGATGGATGATATGTGATGATGAATATGTGAGTGACTCCTACAGCATGGAGATGGATGATGTGTGATGATGAATGTGTGAGTGACTCCTACAGCATGGAGACGGATGTGTGATGATGAATATGTGAGTGACTCCTATAGTATAGAGTTGGATGTGTGATGATTAATATGTGAGTGACTCCTACAGCATAGAGTTGGATATGTGATGATGAATATGTGAGTGACTCCTACAGCATAGAGTTGGATATGTGTTGATGAATATGTGAGTGACTCCTACAGCCTGGAGACGGATGATATGTGATGATGAATATGTGAGTGACTCCTACAGCATAGAGTTGGATGTGTGATGCTGAATATTTGAGTGACTCCTACAGCATGGGGACGGATGATATGTGATGATGAATATGTGAGTGACTCCTACAGCATGGAGACGAATGATGTGTGATGATGAATAGATGAGTCACTCGTACAGCATGGAGACGAATGATGTGTGATGATGAATAGATGAGTCACTCGTACAGCATGGAGACAGATGTGTTGAGGATGTGCTGGGATACATACTGTTGGCAAACTATTGCCACATTACACAGGGCGGTTGAAAGGTTCTGAGCCTAACTATGAAGGATGTATGACACACCCTTGACAGTTTACATGTATTAAATACTCTACTTTGAAAGAAATACACAACCAGGCAGTATATGTCTGAAGCTTTTAAGTAACTAGGTATTCTCTGTTGATGAAAATGCATGAAACAAATAGCTCTCATCAAGTATCCCCAACTGAAGACTGGGTGTCAACTTTAGGGGGAAAAGTGCTTACATGAAAGTTTTGAGAACATTCTGAGGAATGAAGTGGGCATGCCAGATGTTTCAGAATGCTAGTTTCCAATACTTCAGACTCTTGATCAGAAAAGGTAAGGGTCATCTTTCTCTCTCGAGAATTTTCATTAGTTCAAAGCAGGCCCAGAGTGTTGAATGATTTTTAATCATTAATGAGTCTTGGGTTCACTCCTATCTGGTTTGGTCATTATTATGCTAATCTGCTTTGGAAACTGCGTAAAAAATACAAGGCTATAAAAGGTTGTAGAAAACTCACTAAGGATGCTTCCAAGTCAATGCACCTGTTCACATATCTGTTGCATTGCATGAGGTGGCTTTAAACCCATTTAATATCCTTCGTATTCACCATATTTGGCACCATCAGATTTCAATCTCTTCTCAAACTTGAAGAAAGATTAATCTGGCAAGCATTATGCAAATAAAGATGATGCCATGTCTGGTGTGGAGGAAGTGTTACACCTTCTACACCAGCTTGGCCCTGGCACTCTACCATCGTTGGCAGACATGTGTGGACCTTGGAGGGGAGCATTTGGAAATACAACCAAATCCAACATAGTTAGGTTCAGAACTTTTCAGGCAACCCTTGTAGATAGTGAGACAATGATTACATGCGCACTTGATGTGTTTCCAGGTGGAAGTGATAGACTCAGACAGGAAAGCAGTGTGTAAATCTCTAAATGACCCTCATATCACATCAACTGACCAGCAGTAAGTACAGACATATAGACACGTGTACGTACACCTTAAACTGTATGGCGATCGGAATCATGATTATATGGTTTCATGTTTATAATGTTAACTCAGCTATTAATTTCTTTTTTTTGCAGGTATTTCGACATACACAAAGCAGGAGAATATATCCTTTTCAAGAGTGATGCTAATGATTATGAAGTAAGATATTGATGCTCTGACAAGTTAATTGTTTTTTAGCATAAAAGGTCTTTGACCAGTAGGTGGTGATTGTTTTGTGCCCTTTTGTCTCTTACATTTTACACATAATGACGCCAGCATTGAATGATTTTTTAACAGAAAATAAGCGTTACGAGAACTTGATTCAATATTTAGACAGAATTTTGGTTACAAAAGAGGCCTCAAAACATGAATTCTGTTTCTGTTTGACAATCAGCTCAGCAAAACATTTTGTTAAATAGTTCTGCATTGGTATTAATTAATTTGGGATTTTGTACGTGGATTTATTTTAATCATCTGTTTTGTCAGGTCCACACATTTTACTCAAAGTGTACAAAGAGTTCATTAATGCCGACCTGCAATTGTGCTGTGGCTGTACGTACTGGCAGGAATGTCATTGCTTTCTATGGCTGCCGGGAGAATGAGGGCATCACAGTCAAGTATTTCGGAGACAAAAAGGTTCACAAAGGAACTCGGATATACAGGAAGCAGGGCGGAAGTGTGTATGAGGTGAATGCTTAATTAAAGTCATGACAATCACATAACTATATCTGACTAATGGTAATGATGGTGAATTATCACAATAATGGTTCCCATTTTTTCTGATGGTTTATGCATGCTCTCTTATAGGTTGTTTTGGAAACCGGCATGCAGGTGATGGTGAAGGAGAGCTATCAAGACTTCATCAATGTGTGGGTGTACCCATCTCCTTTAGATGCTAACAGTACAAAAGGTATGCTCATATGAAACAGGTTAACTAATGTGGTCTGTTGTGTATATGTGTGGCCTGATAGATTGAGGTCTTTGTGATCGTAAGGGGACGGAAGGTCAAGTTACTTCAAAACATCAAATGACCACAAGACATTGGTTCTGTCATTTGGATATTTGCTGAAAAACTTTCCCTTTTAGCTTCTTTTCTCCATGCCATGTGTGAAGTTTGGTGAAATTGTGAATGTTGCTTTGTTTGGAATTTTCTTTCAATGAAAAGAACAATGAAACTGAAATCGTTTTAAATAATTTGACAATATTTGGCATGTTGCTAGCTAGTGTGCAATAAGTTTCAACCAAAACAGCATGTTTTCCCAGTGTTTGGATCTTTTAGCTGATTGTATTTATCTTCCTCTGTTGAAAATACCTGTATGATTTTATACCTGTGAGCTGCACAAATAATTGGTCAACTCCATCAAGAAAAACATATGTAAAATGTTATTTTTGAAGATGTATGTCAATGTCTGTGTTTGTTTCAGGCTTGTGTGGGGATTTTGATGGTGATTCCTCCAATGAGTTTATGCTGCAGAATGGCACCATTGGAACCATTGAAGAATTTGCTGCAGCATGGAAGTAAGGCTTTCAAATAATTATATTACTTTTTATCTATTTAGATTCGTGAAATGATTTAGATATGTTGAAGATAGAAGACAGAAATATTTTTTTCTCATCAACATGTGTGCCAGACTCTGGTCATGACTTATGTATACATGCATAATTATCGATTTATTGAAAGCTGATTTACTCAATTACCATTAAGTGTTCTGTTGATAAAGAGTGAGCCCAGCTGACAGTTTGTACAATGGACTGTGTCCTGATAAAGTACCAGTTTCTTCCTCTTCACCTGCCATGCGGCACTGTGCATGTGCTTCAGTAGATGCCACCCAGTGCATGATGGGTAACAGTGTACAAGCTTGTCATATGTTAAAGGAGCACAATGCAGGTGAGACTGTAATAAATAAGCAATTCAAGTCAACCAAACATAAACAAAATTATTGTTTTTGTCATGTTATTTATTGGCTTTTTGCTTGAGAATGGGATAGGCATGTTGTCTTCAGTAAATTAACAATCGTTACCTGGTATCATTAATATATATTAATATAATAAATATAATATATTTGTTTTCTGTATGGCATGCACCTTCATGAATTTGAATTTGAAATGGAAATGTGATACATCTATGACATCCCCTTTAACAGATGATGACATAACAGACACTTTAACGTCCACACCAACTCTCCCAGCCAACTGCTTTGAGGGTTTTCAAAGAGTGGAAGATTTCCCATATGACCAGGAAGTCAATGTATGCATTACACCAAGATTACAATGTATTCTCTGGAGTTGTACCAGCCAAGATTGCAAAGTATTCACTAAATAAATACCAAAATTTTGTTCAACGTTATTGGAAACAAAATAACCTAATAATTTCATATTGTACATTTATACAAATATGTGCACCAAGTACAGCCAGTTTCATCACATTTATACTCTTCACAACTAAACCATGTTGTTAATTCATATTGTATTTGGTGCAATTCCTTAAATTAATAATGACCATTGGATTAAACGACAAGCATGAAGGTCCATGTGGTTTTTGTCAGATCATGTGTGTTGCATGTACAGGTGAATGAGTCCTTGGCAAGTGGATGGAATGAAAGCTATGCACGGAGTCTCTGTCAGCAGTCTCTAGAAGCCAGCGTGTACTTCTCTTTGTGTAGCTCAGTGGTCCAGCTGTCTCCACAAGAGATAGACAACTGTGTGGAGGACCTCTTGGTAAGTATGTCAAGACAAACTCAATTAGTGGAGCAAAGGATGGGAATGTTTTTATTTATTTATAAGAAGTTATAGAAACTTCCTTAGTTACCATAAAAGTATTGAAGTTTTGCTTCCTACGACCTTCATGAAGGCTACATAATTGTTAGGGAAATGAGTGAGTGAGTGAGTGAGTGAGATTTGGGTTTTACGACGCTTTTGACAATATTCCAGCAATATCACGGCAGGGGACACCAGAAATGGGCTTCACACATTGTACCCATGTCGGGAATCAAACCTGTGACGAGCAAACGCTTTAACCACTAGGCTACCCCACTGCTCCGTTTAGGGAAATGAGACATGTATACTGAGACACCAATATCTTACTCATACAAGATGCCCATGTATTTTATAACCCTCTCCAAAATTGTATTTGTTTCATAGTGCTCATCATGCACTGCACAGCCGACTAGTAACGCTTGTTACTTATAATCCTAAAGGTTGTCTGTAATACACTTGTGGGGGCTGAATGTTACCTAGTACCCAATGTTTGTCATAAGAGTTGACTGACATGAGAGTAGGGTGGTTAAACAGTTTTGACTTTGATGATTTCACTTCATTTATCCCTGTCAACCAGGGGTTTGCCTGTCCCAGACTGGATTATTTAATGCCACATGCCACCATGATACAGCTGGAATTGTTGACATCAGGGCATCCACTCATTGAAATAGTTCTGAACTGTGTGTCCATGTTTTTCATGTAATTTCAACAACTATTTTGCCCTTTCAGCCAAATGGAATCTGTTTCGCCGGATAATCTAGACTACAACTCCCTCAGTCCCTCCCCAAACCCTCACCACTGCATTGCAAAATGAATATAATTCTTAAATGTTTTTCTTTACTTCTAAGCAGCAGTACACATCAGATGTGATTCACAATTCACATATCATTATTAATAATATGTTTCAACAAAATCAGTCAATGCATTATTGTGACTGGATTTTCTGGTTCACTGATGACTTGATTGTCTGGTTTGTTTATAGGTCGCCATTGCATGGCAGGAGTACTTGCTGTGTGGTGTCACACAAAAAATACTTCCTTTTTTTATATGCAAATTGTTGTGAATGTTACATAGGGCAGGACATGCTTACCCTTTTTGCGAACATCATCACTGATTTTCTGTGTTCCATTCATATAATTTTCACAACAGTTTTGACCTTTGCACCAAATGGAACATGTTTTGGCATATAATCTAGACTGGTTATTTTCTTGCAATGACAATTTATATTTGCTCTGGCAGTCAACACAAGATGAATCCTGGAGCCGTGTCCTGCAGGTGTCTTTAGAGATGTCCTGTCGGTATGAGCTGGTAACTAACACAACTCTCATCCTGGCTGGACAGTCACAAACTATTCTCAACACAATCTGCCCAGATGGATGTTCTGGCAATGGAGACTGTGTACAGGGTAAGCAATCCAGTCTCTTCTATCACAGTGAACAACAGCTTGGAAGTGAGCATGCAATGTCACATTTGGAAGTGCATAGTAAACATGGATATTTTCTTATGTATGTTTTTATTTCCAGGTGAATGTGAGTGTAACGACGGCTATATGGGAGTTGACTGCTCACTCAGTATCTTTGCTGCACCTGTCATTAGTCGACTGGAGCAGGATGGCCACTGTAACACACTTCTTGGTGACTGCACTACGGTGCATCTATATGGAGGAATATTTGTGGAGACAGCACAGCTTAAAGGATACTTCAAAGCTATTGAGGTTAGTGTTTGGATATAATAGTTCTCATTCTACTGCTTTCCCATGACTTACTTCTTGTGTTAGGTTCTGTGTGCTGGACTGACCATGATGTACATGCTGGTACTTGTGCTACCGAAGTGTTATTAAGTGTTGTGTATTTGCCCTACAGGTTACCAGCACAAGCTATGAGGAAGCAGGCATGTGGACAGAGTGCAACAGCACAGTGTTTGTCAGCAAGAGTGTTCTGAGATGTGTCCTCCCTAAAACAGCAAACTACCTCCTCCATGTGGCCAATGTTGATGGAATCTTCTCCAACAATCTCACATTTCTTGCCTACAACCCTCAATGCTACACATGCAACACAGAACTAGGAACATGTGAAATGAAGGTGGGAAGTATAATAAGTAGGCTCAATTTATATGTTTCACATTTGTTCAATGTACTCTGCTTATAACACATAATACATTCCATATTGCAGGAAAATGTATGTGTGATTGATGATGTCTGCTTTTTGGACCTGACAATCAACCCAGACACTCACACACAGATCTGTAATGCAACACACAGCAACATGTCCTGGTCGGAGAACACATGTAAGTTATTCATACCAATACTCTCACACAGACTTGTTTTAAGCAAAATCTACTTCTCACTTCTAGGGCCTTTGAAATTGGTCTGTTAAGTCCAGCCATTGGTACCAGAGAGAGCATATGGTCTCTGTTGGTACTGACAAACCGGGAACACAGAACACCATTGCCCTGGCAGGTTGAGGGTAGCTAATCTGCAAGAACCTGTAGGTTTATGTAGGTATGTTTTTGATTGACCATGCATGGTGGTTTGGCACAACTTGAGATTTGCGAGTCTGAAACTCATGTAAATATCACTTTTTAGGTATCTTGGAGATTTGAAAATCAGTGAGCTTTATCCATCAGTTTGTTATACTGCAGAATTATATGATGATAGACAGTAAAACAGTCTGGAGGTATGCTGAAATAGTTTGTTGTACTTGTTCGCCATAAATAGCCATGTTCCTTATCATCATGTTCAACTGTAATTCAGTTGTTTAAACGAACACATCATTGATGTAACATTACATAATGTGTCCTCCCATTGTTTCCAAATGTTAAAAATGTCTGGAAGCAACAAGTTATAAATAAACTAAGTTCATTACAAAAGAGAACAAAAGTTGACAAATAGCTGGCATGAGTGACAGCCCTTGTTGGCATGAGTACAGGAAATCAGTGGTTGGGTAGCAAAGATTTCTAACACTGGACAAAGGGAGGTAACTCTACAAAACCTGTTTTACTAACTTAGAAAACCTAGCATAAGGCATAAAAACAGACATGATATGACTCTCCCTATTTCTTTGCCAGCTCCCTGTCCTGGATCAGAAGTAATTTGGATACAAAACGCATCCATGGCAATTGCCTTCCACAACCACAAAACTGTTAATGTTTCAAGTGTAGAGATGTGTCGTACACTATGCGTACAGGAGAAAGATTTCCTATGCCAATCTGCTGACTACAACAATGACACTAAGGAGTGTCATTTGTCAAGGTTCAAAGCTGCACAGGTTGGAGATTACTTCAAAAAGTTTCCTGACAGATTCCAGTACCTTGAATGGCAGTGCCAGGAAGGTAAGTTTGTTTTGGCTGGGTGGAGAGACACTAAGACGGTGTTTTAGGTTAGCAGACATTGATTAGGTTTAAAAAAATAAAAGAATTGGTCCTCAGACAATGGGTTTGAAATAGTGTGGGAGGGGTGTGTCTTTTATGGGGGGAGGGGGTTGTTCAAACTAGTATGTAACCAAATATACAGTTGTGTAAAATCAACCTGAGCAAGGACCTCCCTACCAAAATGTATTCCTTGATGAGTCAAATATAGGATTGCAGTATTTGATTACCGTTGGAATTGGAATATTTAAGGGTATTTAAAATAAAAAAATGGACATGAAAACAACACGTACAGCAATCTTTATGATGATGTGGGCATTGCCTGAGAAAGAAGACTGTTATTATTTTTAGCCTTACTTGAAAACTTTTTAATGTGAAGTTTACACAATATAGGGCTCTCCCATTGGACGAGAGGTCAGTCACATGACCACGAAACTGAAGGTCATAAGTGTATGAACGACATATTTGGACGGTCATATGTTTTTCATGAGACTGAATTCTTGAAATGACGTAAACACTGACGGACTACTTCCACATTCCTGGGGATATCCCCAGGAATTCCCTAGCAGGAATAAATACAGTAGCATTGTTTCTCATCATTTAGACTCTTTAATCTTGAACTTAGCATTTTAACATACATTGTGATAAGTCAAAGAGTTTGATTGCATGCTTGTTCAAGGATATCCTAGCTACAGCCCATCCAAGAGAACAAAACGAACAAAAGCACATCCCAAGTATCGTAGTATCGACTCGATCCATGTCTAGACTACAGTGACAGTCTACAGCAATCTATGAATTTACTTTAGTATCTATTTGACACATCACTTTTTAATGATCGGCTTCTTGATCAGTGATGACTAACACTTGTAATAGCCTCAGGTTTATTAACAACTTCAGAAACCTCTCCCTTTATCGTGTCAGCCATTTTGACGTTTTGTACATGATGTAAATGTATAACGATGCGCTGTCATTGTGACTGACTTACTGATGTAGATTTTAACATCTAGATCTAATGATATTACTTGAATACATTTGTTGTGAAGCATACATACGCTCATTTCACCCCTCGTCTTGAGGGACTATTTTATTCGGGATACAGCAGGTTGTTGTATGGCTGTCAGTGAAATCATGACGTCACACATACTAGATATAATTGTTTTTATATGTAGGTCTCCCCTTTGAGGTAAAAAGTAGTGATATAAAAAAATGATAAGAATTGACATTCACTTTGTGTGAATTCATAATGGAGCATGACCCTTCATAGAGTGAGGGCCAAACATTGTAGGAACGTCGTTGCAAGCCCTGACGTTCATACAGTTTGGCCCTTACTCTCTGAAGGTTCATAAAGTGAGAGTCAATTCTTAAATGAGGCTCATCTTTGTACATTAGTGTAGCAGATATCTGAAGTATAAAGTACAAAGTTAAGTTTCTTCTCACTTTTCACTAGATCGCTGCCCATCAGCACTACTGACATGGAAGAAGGACCAAGACTATGTGAAGCCTGCTGCGACTGATGCTGCCATAGGTGTTGTGTGGACCGTGGACCACTGTAGACGACTCTGCTCACTCAACGCAACCTGCCAGTCAGTCAAGTTCAGCCCAGCACGAGGCATCTGTGTTCTTTCCCCTGTAATAATCACCAACTCTACCATCAAGTGGGTCCAGGCACCTGGCTGGGACACACACTCCCTCACATGCAGACAGGGTAATTAATTACAGCATGTCATAGCATAGTTTACAAATATGAAGATTTATTGTGCAGTATGCTGTTTTAAAAATGTTTCAAATATGTCTTTATAAACAAAGTTCAGAAGACACTTTGTGCCTGCAGGCACATTATATCATTTGAACGAGAGTGACATATTATAAAATGAAGTCAGTATATTTTGATAGTCTTGACCATGACCAGATAACGACCACAGGACTAAGATAAAATCAAGGGTGACATTTGGGTCTTGTCAGTAACAGATTCAGTTCCAATGAATGCTACACCCACAGTTGTTAACTTGCAGCCAACTTTTAGGTGCTGCCCTTCTGCTCAATAAATCAGGCTTATGGGTGACAGTAGAGATCTTACACAATCCCGGTTCAGGGTTTTGCTGTTTGAGTTTGAGTTTGCCAGAACATGGCAAGTGTTTCAAAAATTTGCTGTCAGTTCTCATTAAAGTTGAGTTCTTAGCCATTCTGTTTCAAAATGATTTCAATGTGTTGTACCGTTGTAATTCTAGCCTTGGCTAGTATTTGAGTCATGCAGCATTGCCCATATCATTGTGGGGTTTAAAATTAATAAAGAAATAAAGAAAACATTACATCAATGATCAAGAGACTTTGTTTTCCCCTCCGTTCTTGAATGTAGACTTTAAGCTTGGTTTACTGAGCAAAAATGCTGTCAAAGTGATAGTTTTCAAAGTTATAGCAAAGAAACCTGTGTGGTGGTGAAAAAGTGCCTGGAAGACACACTCCTTCGAGGGTACCCAATGGACATATTGCGAGAGGTTGAAGACTCACTTGTATGTTAACTTGTGCATACAGAATGATCCCTGATCTGTACCAAGAAAGTGTATCCACACTTTTGAAAGTATATGAGTGAGTGAGTGAGGTAATGCTTTACGTCACATCGGCAATATTGCAGCCATATCGTGACGAGTGAAAGTATATGAGTATGTACAGGTCATGAGTATTTTAATGTACAAGTGTGCCTTATGTATGGGTGTTAATGGTTGCTTGGTTATCAAGGATATCACTTTTTCCTATTTTACTCTGATATCAGTATATACTGGTATATGTTTTTATATTTCTAATAGCTTTTGGGGTGGTTCATACATAATAGATGATTATTTTATGAAATGTATGTATAAAATGAGTAGGTATTATACTGTTTTGAAGTATCTTTATGATAACGATCTGGAAATCAGAAAAGGAAACCTAGTCTCTGGATGAACATATGTATAGTGTACATAGTGCCTTGATGAACATATGTATAGTGTACATAGTCTCTGGCTGAACATATGTATAGTGTACATAGTGCCTTGATGAACATATGTATAGTGTACATAGTGTCTGGCTGAACATATGCATAGTGTACATAGTCTCTGGATGAACACATGTATAGTGTACATAGTGTCTGGATGAACATATGTATAGTGTACATAGTGCCTTGATGAACATATGTATAGTGTACATAGTGTCTGGATGAACATTTGTATAGTGTACATAGCCTCTGGCTGAACATATGTATAGTGTACATAGCCTCTGGATGAACATATGTATAGTGTACATAGTGCCTTGATGAACATATGTATAGTGTACATAGTGTCTGGCTGAACATATGCATAGTGTACATAGTCTCTGGATGAACACATGTATAGTGTACATAGTGTCTGGATGAACATATGTATAGTGTACATAGTGCCTTGATGAACATATGTATAGTGTACATAGTGTCTGGATGAACATATGTATAGTGTACATAGTGTCTGGATGAACATATGTATAGTGTACATAGCCTCTGGATGAACACATGTATAGTGTACATAGTCTCTGGATGAACATATGTATAGTGTACATAGTGTCTTGATGAACATATGTATAGTGTACATAGTGTCTGGATGAACATATGTATAGTGTACATAGCCTCTGGATGAACACATGTATAGTGTACATAGTCTCTGGATGAACATATGTATAGTGTACATAGTGTCTTGATGAACATATGTATAGTGTACATAGTGTCTGGATGAACATATGTATAGTGTACATAGCCTCTGGATGAACATATGTTTAGTGTACATAGTGTCTGGCTGAACACATGTATAGTGTACATAGTCTCTGGCTGAACATATGTATAGTGTACATAGTCTCTGGCTGAACACATGTATAGTGTACATAGTGTCTGGATGAACATATGTATAGTGTACATAGTCTCTGGCTGAACATATGTATAGTGTACATAGTGTCTTGATGAACATATGTATAGTGTACATAGTGCCTTGATGAACATATGTATAGTGTACATAGCCTCTGGATGAACATATGTATAGTGTACATAGTGTCTGGCTGAACATATGTATAGTGTACATAGCCTCTGGATGAACATTTGTATAGTGTACATAGTCTCTGGCTGAACATATGTATAGTGTACATAGTGTCTTGATGAACATATGTATAGTGTACATAGTCTCTGGCTGAACATATGTATAGTGTACATAGTGTCTTGATGAACATATGTATAGTGTACATAGTGTCTGGCTGAACATATGTATAGTGTACATAGTGTCTGGCTGAACATATGTATAGTGTACATAGCGTCTGGCTGAACATATGTATAGTGTACATATCCTCTGGCTGAACATATGTATAGTGTACATAGCCTCTGGATGAACATATGTATAGTGTACATAGTGTCTTGATGAACATATGTATAGTGTACATAGTCTCTGGCTGAACACATGTATAGTGTACATAGCCTCTGGATGAACATATGTATAGTGTACATAGTGTCTGGCTGAACATATGTATAGTGTACATAGCCTCTGGATGAACATTTGTATAGTGTACATAGTCTCTGGCTGAACATATGTATAGTGTACATAGTGTCTTGATGAACATATGTATAGTGTACATAGTGTCTGGCTGAACACATGTATAGTGTACATAGTGTCTGGCTGAACACATGTATAGTGTTCATAGTGTCTTGATGAACATATGTATAGTGTACATAGTGTCTGGCTGAACATATGTATAGTGTACATAGTCTCTGGCTGAACATATGTATAGTGTTCATAGTGTCTTGATGAACATATGTATAGTGTACATAGTGTCTGGCTGAACATATGTATAGTGTACATAGCCTCTGGATGAACATATGTGTAATGTACATAGTGTCTTGATGAACATATGTATAGTGTACATAGTCTCTGGATGAACACATGTATAGTGTACATAGTCTCTGGATGAACATATGTATAGTGTACATAGTGTCTGGCTGAACATATGTATAGTGTACATAGCCTCTGGATGAACATTTGTATAGTGTACATAGCCTCTGGATGAACATATGTATAGTGTACATAGTGTCTGGCTGAACATATGTATAGTGTACATAGTGTCTGGCTGAACATATGTATAGTGTACATAGTGTCTTGATGAACATATGTATAGTGTACATAGTGTCTGGCTGAACATATGTATAGTGTACATAGTGTCTGGCTGAACATATGTATAGTGTACATAGTGTCTTGATGAACATATGTATAGTGTACATAGCCTCTGACTGAACATATGTATAGTGTACATAGCCACTGGCTGAACGTATGTATAGTGTACATATCCTCTGGCTGAACATATGTATAGTGTACATATCCTCTGGCTGACCATATGTATAGTGTACATATCCTCTGGCTGAACATATGTATAGTGTACATAGCCTCTGGCTGAACATATGTATAGTGTACATAGCCTCTGGCTGAACATATGTATAGTGTACATAGCCTCTGGCTGAACATATGTATAGTGTGCATAGCCTCTGGCTGAACATAGGTATAGTGTACATAGTGTCTGGTTGAACATATGTATAGTGTACATAGTCTCTGGCTGAATATATGTATAGTGTACATATCCTCTGGCTGAACATATGTATAGTGTGCATAGCCTCTGGCTGAACATAGGTATAGTGTACATAGTGTCTGGTTGAACATATGTATAGTGTACATAGCCTCTGGCTGAACATATGTATAGTGTACATAGTCTCTGGATGAACATATGTATAGTGTACATAGTGTCTGGCTGAACATATGTATAGTGTACATAGTGTCTGGCTGAACATATGTATAGTGTACATAGTGTCTTGATGAACATATGTATAGTGTACATAGTGTCTGGCTGAACATATGTATAGTGTACATAGTCTCTGGCTGAACATATGTATAGTGTACATAGCCTCTGGATGAACATATTTATAGTGTACATAGTGTCTGGCTGAACATATGTATAGTGTACATAGTGTCTGGATGAACATATGTAAAGTGTACATAGTGTCTTGATGAACATATGTATAGTGTACATAGTGTCTGGCTGAACATATGTATAGTGTACATAGTGTCTGGCTGAACATATGTATAGTGTACATAGTGTCTTGATGAACATATGTATAGTGTACATAGCCTCTGACTGAACATATGTATAGTGTACATAGCCACTGGCTGAACGTATGTATAGTGTACATATCCTCTGGCTGAACATATGTATAGTGTACATATCCTCTGGCTGAACATATGTATAGTGTACATATCCTCTGGCTGAACATATGTATAGTGTACATATCCTCTGGCTGAACATATGTATAGTGTACATAGCCTCTGGCTGAACATATGTATAGTGTACATAGCCTCTGGCTGAACATATGTATAGTGTACATAGCCTCTGGCTGAACATATGTATAGTGTGCATAGCCTCTGGCTGAACATATGTATAGTGTACATAGTGTCTGGTTGAACATATGTATAGTGTACATAGTCTCTGGCTGAACATATGTATAGTGTACATATCCTCTGGCTGAACATATGTATAGTGTGCATAGCCTCTGGCTGAACATAGGTATAGTGTACATAGTGTCTGGCTGAACATATGTATAGTGTACATAGCCTCTGGCTGAACATATGTATAGTGTGCATAGCCTCTGGCTGAACATAGGTATAGTGTACATAG